CCCCAAAACCCCAAAACCCCAAAACCCCAAAACCCCTTAAATAATTTTTCAGCTTGAAATTTTGTAATAATAATGGTAAAAGGACCTAAGCAGGTAAGAAAGGCCAGGAACACAGTCAAGCTGAACAACTACCAAGAAGCTATCAACAAAGTGTAAGGGAGCCTTCCTAACCAAGCCTAATGAGTGATATAGGGACAAGTACTGGGACCAGATCCCTGAAGATAAGATCTTCAAAAAGGAGATTTTATTGGAGAATGATTACATCTTTCACATGAATAATCCGATAGTTGTGAGGATTGTTTTCCAGAGATTTTGTAAATAGTCATCTAGTGCAGTGTAAGGAGTGGTTTAAAGTGTTTTAGATAAGATGGTAAGGGTTAAGAGTGAAGAATAGGAATTGAGCAAGGTGAAGGAGGATGTACCAGATGAAATTCAGGAATTAGTGAATGGTAAGAGGGGTAGAGAGGGTTTGATGTAGCGTGGTGTTTGCTAGGGCTTTTGGATAGTTAAATTTTGAGTAGTTTGAGTTGAATTTGGATAAATCTTGTGAGGTTGAGAATTTTTATAAAACTTCCTCAATTATCGTATTGTGTACTTCAAATTCATGAAACCCTAAGTCATTGCTAACTTATTTTAGACCTTAACGAGTTCACAATTGCGTTCAACGAAATGCAGAAAGAATTCAAGAGTAATTTGTAGGCTTAACTTCTAGATCTGGAGAAAATCGAGAATAATTGCGATCCAAAAGACTGGGAAGATCTCAAGAAAACAGCAAAGAGCTTGTAAGTCTTCATTATTAACATTTTAGATATAAAAGAGTACGCAAAGGTAGAGAGGATCTCAGAAATTCCAGATTTTACTCAGTCTTAGGGGAGGAATTCTACAAAAATCTTCCTTGTACTCTTGAACATCTGTCAGAAACTCGTGCTAGCATCCTCAGCAACATTGATCTGCCTGTAGACCCAATCGGAATGGCTGCTTATGGTAAACTATAGTGTTAACCTCATAGAGAAACGTATCAGAAAGATCCATAATAAGAAAATCAAGCTCTACACTAAGAGTAAGTCTTTGCCTTAATCCCTAGTTCATGAAGAAGAGGAAGAGAAGAGGTAAGCCCAGACCTTCATACATGTATATTTGTAGAGGTTTAGAGAAGAAGATTGCTAAACGAGAGAAGAAGATTCGCAAGCTAAGCGTAGAGGTAATCCCTATTAGCTTTGACATGTGTCTGCCCCATTCGAGTATTTGCCACCGACCCTAGTGTCCCAACCTGGGATGTTATATGCTCACCTTTATTATAGGTATCCAATAAAGACGAAAAGATTAGAAATGTCCAAGAAGAAATAGAGAAATGGAAGTCCAAATTTTATCAGAAAGCGTACTCTAAATTCACTAATATTCTTTAGGGAAGAAGTTAAGAAACAAAAGAAGGAAATTAAGAAAATAGGTACTTCATTATTCAGCTTTTATGCTAGATTTGGATGTCTTTAACCTTAGAGTTTTCATGAAGACTCCTCTATGACCCTAGCTAGGTTTATACAATAAATTGAGCATTAAAGTAGAGTTTAGGCACTGTTAATGATAAAATTCTCTAAATCTTTGCTAAATGCCAACTGTTGATTCCTTCTAACACTCAAAAAATAAGTTCAAAAATTTGATGTCCAAATTGTTGGATTTTTACTCCCATTAAACTGAATATTAGTCGGGCCTCGTAAGCCCCTAGTCTTGCAAGCTAGGATCCTTCTGTGCATGAACTCTTCCTTTTGGTTATAAAACTGGCTATATATAGACAAAATTAATAAGAAATTAGAGAAGGAAAATGAGAGGTAAGTCCATGTTTTCACATTAAGAATAATTGAGATCAACAAGGATTTGGCCAATCAGCACAATGACCTTGTCACAGTAATAGGAGACGGGCTTGACGGTCCAGCAATTCCCTTTACAGACTATGAATCTGGTAAATCAGAGAACACTTTTTTCGCATATTCCGAGGCTAATTTCGGTTATATTACAATCTCTAAGTTTGCACATTTTTACAAAACCACTGAGCCCATGCTAAATATTTTGATAATGATGAGCTTACTTATGCATAGATATAGAACACCCTCTCACAGATGGTGGAAAAGAGGAAAAGAAAAAGGAAAAGAAGAAAAAGAAGCACTCTTCACTAAAAGGTAAACCTGTCAATGCATATTCTTACTTCAAATTAGTTATCTACATTAGCTTAAATGCTTCTATGAGTTGGGGATTCTGTATACTGATGTATTCTAGTACTCAGTCATGCTTGGTTGGATGTTAATAAGAGCCTTTAGCTTCTTGGGCAACTTACTAGATCTAACTTATCTATAGATGTTGATGTAAAAGCTGAGAATGATGATTCCCAACCAGATAAAGAAGACAAGAAAGCATCTGAAGATCAGAAAGAGCCTGAAGACCAGAAAGAGCCTGAAGACCAGAAAATGCCTGAAGACCAGAAAATGCCTGAAGACCAGAAAATGCCTGAAGACCAGAAAATGCCTGAAGACCAGCAAGTACCCGAAGACCAGAAAGCGCCTGAAGACCAGAAAGTGCCTGAAGACCAGAAAGCATCTGAAGACCAGAAGGCTCCTGAGGACCAAAAGGCGCCTGTGGATCAGAAAGCGCCTGAGGACCAGAAAGTGCCTGAAGCCCCACAAGTCCCTGCAGACCAACAAGTCTCTGCAGACCAGAACCAAGACAAAGACAATAAAGCTCAAGATGAGAGCAAAGGATAACCTCATACTTACTCTAACAATATATCACCTACATAAGATATTGTTCAATAACCAACACTAAGGAATGCCTGGGTCAGGAACACCACCTGAAAAGAGTCTCTCTCAGGATTAATTCGTATTTCATATGGTGATAAGGAGGGTTTAAGGGCTTTTAGACACCCAGGGGTTATTTCTAGGGACTAAGACAACCACTCTTCCTACTTCTGCTATGACAATCATGTCTTGTCCAGTTCTTTTAGGGTAAATAGAAGTAAGTTCACACAGTCATTGGTCTTAGCTTTGTGTTTTTGCTTGTATCAAAATCCAAGCTGAGACTTTGATTGTATAAAGGAGATCTCTCTGAAAGTAATCTCACTTGTAATCACCTAGAGGTATTTGTGTAATTGTCAAATATGTCCATATGATAAATTGAAGATACCTCAATGATCAAGACCCAACTAGGGGTTTTGGGGTTTTGGGGTTTTGGGGTTTTGGGG